TCAATTGTACAACCCGCTGATTATTGGAAAGCTTTTGCTTAACTGCTGAATCAATAGAATTCAAAATACATACAACTATGAGATCGACAGAAGAGCAGTGCCAGCTGTTGAGCAATGAATTGATAATTCCAAACCATTATAGAAGAGGTGAAGCCTCCGCTCAAATGATTACGGTATGCGCATTACATCGAATACATCAAAATCCATAGAAATCCATATGCTGACATGGCGCATCTTTTAAGGGCCATTGGTAAATTTAGCATCACAGAGGTAATATCATTGTTCTAGGGATCACCTATAAACCTGAGGAGAGGGTGTTAAGACAGTTTGTGGGAACGATTTGAAGGCGGCCGGTTTGTCCTGTAGAGCAGAATGTCGAACAGTCGGATTTCATCTGGTGTTAAGTGATGAAAACTGATGAAGTCGCTTGCAAACGCCTCGTATCCCTGAAATGAAGGACTAGTACTATAACTGGAAAGCGCTAAGCTGTTAAAGTATTAAAAATCTTGAAAACTAGATTTTGGTTGATTCAATCTTTGAAATCAAAAGTCAAGCTTGAATCAGAAGAGCAGCCTTAAAGCCTTGTACGAAGAATGTGTGGCAGTTCTGATTATTCTTGTTTAAAAACCATTCAGAAATTAGTAATTTTACAGGCCTGAAACTGATTCTAGTATGAAGGTTGCACTGAGAGCGTTCAGGCAAGTTACCTGGCACCAGGGTGAAAATCGGTCGAGGATTCGTCGACGACTCGTCGAGGATTTTCGCCTTCAGTCACGCTCTCCCGCGCGACATTCACTCTCGCCATGCGCGAGCCGTCTGTGCTCTCCGCGCGTACATTCACTCTCGACACTACTCTCGCACAGTAGAGAGCCATGGTCGAGGATTTCCTCGACCGTTATTCACCCTGCCTGATACTGTCCATAATTTTCATGCATTTCGATTTGCCCGTTTTTCTTATTGAAGGTGCATGTCACCGTTAAACAGGTGGGAGTTATTGCGTAAGAAGAAATGTGTTGCTTGGAACAACCACGAATGAAAAGCGCAAACAAAGCCGCCAAGTACCTTTAAACTCACTCCTGAAGGCGGAGCCAGCACGGCAACTGATCTTTCTCCAGCTTCAACTCCCTATCACATTTTACCATACCAGGAAGAAAGTCACCAACAAGAAGGGCCAGTAATCGATTAGATTCCGCATACAAGATCGCCCGTTACACCACGAATGTTATCTTTTAAGCTAGATCCTATCCGCTCCATCCACCGACGCCTTCTTAACTCTTCTTCTTCGTCGAACCATTGCCCGTTTTTTTCCGCTCTGAAGTGCCTCTATTAAAGGATAAGGATAAAGCATCTGCCGTAATACTTATGTCGGAGAATAAAATAAAGGATAAAGCATTTGCCGTTGATCAATCCCTTTTGGGATGCATTCTACTTCCATTTGTACATTCGTAGTGGCGTTTGAATGCGATGTGGCCTATACAATGACTTGCGGGGGCCAGCCGATGTACAAGTCAGTGTTTTTATCCTCCCAGACAAGTCTGGTACCAATTAACCGACCCCGGAGGGATGGAAGGCTTGGTTGGCCCGGGCGACTCACGACCCAGGATTTGATCCCCGGACCGCTCGCGTGGTAAGCGTGCCACTTGCCACTACACCACTTCCGCCCTGTACTGCCTCTATTACGATTTATAAATATCGTGGTAAACTCCGCTTATTTCGGTACATGTCCCACCCACCTTTTTCTTTCTCGCCAAACTCTTCCCACGTTTTTCCCGGTCTTTCAACTGCCTCTGAGCCAGCTTATATGCTTGGCAGCAATCCCAGCCACATTGGCGCACGCCACACCCACCAATAGCAGTTAACTTCAACTCTTCGCTGACTTCTTAACTACGTTTTCCTGCCTCCAGCGACCTCTTTGGACCTAGCTTATAAATTGAATTAGCCAACCGCCGGCAGCCTATTGACAATAACCTGGCCTTCGTCTCTGCCTTTATCACAGTTTTTCCCGCTCTCCAGGCTTCTCCGACCCGAATTAAGAGGAACGTTGCTGTACTCGCACGCTCACCATTATGGTCGACCTCACTCACGTCATGTATGCGGGAAACACCTAGGCATTGCTTGCGCACCACCAATTTTTTGCTCTGTAGGCTTTCTCCCAACCGAGTTATGAAATTTTTCATAAAGCACTGCTTTTTTGGAGAACGCCCCGCCCACCGGGGGTGGGTCTCCCTAATTCGATGTGACTTACCAATGCACACCTTTACCCACTTTTTGGCCCAGTTTCGAGGTCGTTTTGTAATAGAAATTGAAAATCTTGGTCGTCAGTACAGTTCATTTCGACGCACGCCACGCCCACTGTGGGCGGGGCTCCGCTTAGCTGATGTGTGTTTTGTATTCGTGAGACCTTGCCCACCCATCCCACACTTGACCCGGTCCCTCCAGGCGGATCCCGAGGAGCTAGGGAATTTCGTGACAGACATACAGAACGACAGACGACAGACAGACGACAGACACACGACAGACGAAGCGCTTTATAGTAGTAGGATCATTTCGACCATAGGTGATCGTACTTTCAGAGCTGGGTAGTATCTCCCTCCTTCGCCGGAAGGAGCAATTTTGTGGGATTGGAAGCCTGAGCGCAGCTTTCGTGATTCGTTTGCACACTTTGCACAAGTACCCACGGGACTTTTTGTGCTAATTGTCAGATGCCTTCCACAGAATAGTATAAAATCCTGAATACCCATAAATCCCAATGGAACAATTTTTCAGAGCGCCATGCCGACCTTTTTCAATTGGAGGAATCTCAGACCTGGGCCCACGCCGGCGCGAAAATACCTCGAGACTATAGAAACAACCGTGGAGACAGGGTCAACTGTGAGCTGCGCCAATTTCAGTTTTTTTTACGACCTCACCCCCCATCCCGTTCGCCAAATACGACCCATCCTTTGATCTTTACGCAACGCGGCTGTTGATTCTGCGTGGAAAACGCATAAAAAGTGCGAATGCTGAGTTTCCTCTTGACACAACCCTTTCATAAAGACAAAACTAGCGACAAAACTGATGCTCATTGAAGAGAAAGGTGAGTAGTGAAGAGGATAAAGAAAGGCCTGAGTAGAAAATATGTGGTGCTTTCGCTGTAGAAGCGCCCTATCAACAAAGTTAAAGGTGCAAAAAAGTGTCGAGCGGAATACACTCGTACCGTACCCTGGCGCAGGCGTGTACGTGATTTTCTTCTCAGGAACCTCTTCGTATGGGCCGCCACACCTCAAATCTTACCAATTTCAACTTTCTCTTAAGTGTCTGGATGTTTTTCAGCGAATACGAATACATATTATTATAACGATAACGTATGAAATATCTACAACACTATGCCCACAAAAGGCAAATGCAACGATCATTGAAGCGCCAACAGCCGTGGTTAACTCGTCCAAGTTTGTCACGGGGAAACAGCTTCTCAAATTCTCGACAATTTTGCTTTTTTTCACAGACGCACAACTTGGCATCTTTACCTTCACCTTACCACGCCTCTCAGCTTACCGCGAGTTTTGTCTTTAATCCCTATAACCGAGCATACCCTTACCATTACTCACCCATTAGACAATCAAATCTCCCGAGCAATTCGTCACAACTTTCCCATTTGTGTTTTCTCAGCGAGCATCTGGCTATGCTCCTTTAGGTATGGAAGAAGTTCAAGCTAACACTTGGGAAATACCTTTTTGGCTTTGAAATACGTCCACGTCGGGTTGTTTTGCGTGGCGTGAAAGACGTCGCTAGGTGTATGCGTGTTGAAGCGATTCTGTCCGCGACTGTTCCGAGTGTCGTGGGGAAAAATTCCAACACTTGCCAAACATCTGGAATACATAATGGCTCGTAATTAGCAGCATTTATCAATGTAAAAATCATCTACAGAAAATTGTTGAGCAAAAAGCCACTTTACACAACTCAAAGTCCTCAACGAACTAATTGGTTGAGTTTCCTAACAAAGAGCCATGAAACATTTCAGGGTTACTGTACTTGGGGCAAGGTGTAATTAAGTGTGCCAGTTTGTCATGAGTGGCAAGAACACACCAATGGAGATTCCGTTGAGAAAATCTTACCCTGGTGCGAAAGTGTAACAGAGACAAGTAGCGCCGTTTGATAAGCGCATGGTTCTGGGAGAAAATCGTGAAGTGCACGCCGTCAAGGCCGACCAGACCTTCCATCCTTCCATTGGTTAATTAATATCCGACTTTTGGAAGGATAAACGATGACCCGTACATAGCCCTGGTCCCTGCAGTTGTGCATCCATGTCGCTATGAAGAGCGAACCACGTTTAAATGCCACTTCGATTCTGAGTAAAGCATCTCGCGCCTTAATCAACGCCGAAGGTTTCGTATTTATACTTCTAATCCTAGCTCTCCTCGTGCCCGGATCAAGCTTTTATCAGTCTTGGATATTGAATATAATAACCCACCAATCACATATAAGATATACTTAAAGGCAAAAGTCAGGCTCGTGTTTGGGCATTATGGCGCCTGAAATTGAGTGTAGAGATGGGAGGTGGAACGACAGTGAAGAAAAAACGCAAAGAAACCGTCGACAAGACCGAAATCGAAACCCCTTCCCTTCTAGCAGTGAAAGGAGGCTTGCTCGGGGGAGAGCCACGTCCAAACGGACCAGCCACTCCATCGGTTGATCCGGCAATGAACCTAGCTAATCTCTTACGCACCACATCCCGCCACGGTGCGGACCCAGCTGATGAAACGAACCCATCGCTGTAAGTAGTAGGCCAGAGGCCTTGACGGCGCGCAATCTCGAGTCAGGAGTGTGGCATCACCCCTCTGAGCGCATTCCTGGAAATATTAGTGATGGAAAGGCCTTCTATGGTCACCTAATCCTGACTCGTGGCTTTAAGATGGATAGAAAATTCATGTTCTCATTGGTAAAGTTGGCGCCCATTCCTCGGCGGATCGTTCAGACAAGAGCTGATAGTGTGACGAAGGATTAAACCCAGGAACTTCTCCTCGTGCTCATTAACACAAAGCACATAATTGCCACGCACATGAAGTCCTCCCCCACCACCAACATGAGCGCCAAAATTCATTGGCGCTCTTTTCTGCCGAAGCGTTGATCCCAGCTCCACAGGATGCGCTGTTCCTGCTGTCTGTCACACCGTTCCCATACATATATCTCTTGCCGTTCTTAGTGTGCTAAGTTTCTTTGAAAGGCCTCGCGACATTGGACGAAAGACAAATGCACGGCACAATAGAGGGTCTTGCTGTTCTCAGCCGCCTCGCCTGCTCTACGTGAAGTAAATGGCTGCCTTCATTAAAGTTTTTCCAAATATCGACCTCCAAAAAAATTAGCATCAAGATCAGAGTTTCCGGATCACCAGATTCGCGGCTGTATGGTGCTTACCTGCCAATTCCGACATCCTCGTAGATATCGTCTGGGCAGAGAGTCTCATTGTCGTAAAGCATCTCATTAAATATCTTCACAGCGGCTCTGGCAACACGTAACGGCTCACCGGCGTTGTAACCGTTTTTCTCCTAAATGGTCGAAATTACGCGAAATGATTGAGTTTTTACACACGGCGAGAGGCAACAAAAATCCATTTTGCTAATGCACGAGCCACGAAAAATTAAGTTCCTGCCAAACACAAGGCTAGTTATTCACAGTACTAAAAAAACAGAACTGAAAGCAAAATGATTCAACAGAAAACTTACCAAGTAAGGTCTCAATGTATAGCCTAGATAATAGGGTATGTCTGGGTCAAGATGGAAAGGTATTACTTAGATTGTCAACAACGACGTAGGGCAGTCTGTCAGTCGAAATATTGACCTTGAAATCTATTCTAAGCGGTTGTAAATATTAGTACCATATTTCTCTAGCTATATGTGAGCTGCCGTTATAGAGCTAAAACATCAGCATTATGATGTCTTTTTTCTTTGTTACAATAACCACTCTTGGGACTCCCAGGATTAAAAAGTGATGCTAAATATCGTGACATTTTCCCAATATGTTTCTGCTGAAAACAGCTTTCTACATATAATCCTTGATCCCTTTTTGTTACCAAGACGAAGAGCTCCCATTCCTACGATGCATCCTTAAAGGCACACTCGTGACCGATTAGCTACAAGTTTTACGCCCGAAAGTGCAAGCGTAGATGTAAGGTATACCGATAGCGAAGAAAAAATGCAAAGAAAAAACGTTAAAGTTTGGGGTTTACTTTTCTTAGTAAATTAATTATGCAAAGGCAATGAGGTGGTTTAGGGTACTCTCAGGAGCCCATCGCGATGGGAAGAAGCAGAATCGCGGACGAATTACGTGGGGGCGATGTAAGCTGTAGGAAGTGGTCCATTTGCGGACAGAAGCGAATTTTCGCTTTTCGCAAGCGCAGACATTATTCGTGTCGGTCCGCTGATTTTTTCGCTGTTGGTAGCCTCGGTCCCACTGATCGTGTCAAAGAAGTTCCGCGGCAGCGGATTCTTCGCGCTGCGAACGCGAAATTACTTCTTTGCGTTCGCTAGTGACCACCCGAACGTGCAGTGGGACACTCTATCAACTTGACACGAAATCCCCATAGTACGCGCGCGAGGTCATCCGCCTGACTTTGCCTTCTTGCAGCGCAACGGGCCTCCTGCGGAATACCCGATGGTTTGCGCCGAGGGCGAAAGAGCATAACGGACGAGAGATCGCAGACACTTCACGAGTTGAGGCACAGTCGCAGTTATTTGTGCAAGCCATTGTCGAATAAGGCATTAGGCCACTTGGCCTGCATTAACGATAGCTTTCCTACTGCGAAATGAGTCTAACAAGTGCAAGCGTAATGTTAAGGGATATACCGATACAGAAAAAAAATGCTAAAGAAAAACGTTACCAGCTTGGGGTTTTACTTATTAATAATAATTATGCAAAGGACAATGAGGGGTTAGGGTACTCTCAGGGGCCCGTCGCGAGGGAAGCAAGCAAATCGGCGGACGAAGTTATACGATGGTGTGCGATGTAGGACGTGTAGGAGGTGGTCCATTTGGACAGAAAGCGAATTTTTCGCTTTTCGCAGCGCAAGACATTATTCGCTGCGGTCCGCTGATTTTTTCGCTGGTGGTAGCCTCGGGTCCATGTCGTGTCAAAGAGTTCCGCCAGCGATTTTTCGCGCTGCGAACGCGAAATTCTTCTTTGCGTTCGTAGTTGAGCCACCCGACGTGCAGTGGGACACTCTATTTGAACTTGACGCGAAATCTCTATAGTACGCGCGCGAGGTCATCCGCTGACTTTGCCTTCTTGCCGCGCAACGGGCCTCCTGCGGAATACCCGATGGTTTGCGCCAGGGGCGAAAGAGCATAACGGACGAGAGATCGCAGACACTTCATGAGTTGAGGCACAGTCGCAGTTATTTGTAGTCATGAGAATAAGGGATTAGACATATGCGCGCGCGTTCGTAGGCCTTCCTCTGCGATGAGGTGTTTCTAACTCACCCTACTTATGGAAAGATCGTTCCAATTACTAATCGCGGAATGCGCAGATACTATTTTCAAAGGGGAACAAAATATATCTGCCCATCGCAAACGAACTTTACCAACATTCTAAGGAGAACATGCACATATCACAACCAATCAAATATTCTGTTAACATCTATTTTCTTCAAAGGCTTTATGTGATTTACTAACATGGAACGATCTCATGATTTGCCAGCTAGGTAAGTGTCCTAACGTTAAGGCTATTAAAAGGCACAACCCAGGCAGAGGTCGTGTGAACGCTTCCTTTCGGTCTGTAGTATAGACCCCTAGAGGACAATCACAAATGTGGCGTTCCCGTGCACGGAAACCAACCGACAAGAGCGCTTGGGCCTTGCAAAGTAAGCTGCTGAAGCTGCAGATTTTTTCTTTTATCAGGCTGTTGTCTGGCGCCCTCTCATCTGTAGCGCTCTCTCGCCCATACTCTCCTCTCCGCGCTTAGTCTCTCATTCCCTTAGCACAGCCGATTAGGAAGGTGAGTGAGCCCTTAACCTTTTTCGGATTCTTTTCCTTTTTTCTTTACTGCCGGCCCATTTCCACCAATACATTCGCATTCGTGTGCAAGAGCCACACCAATGTGATCCTGGGGCATGCCTTTAATCCGCAACTTAATTCACTGTTCCATATTTCTGAATGATTCCAAAATTGGCTCCAGTATTGGAATTCACATTTAGTTTTTCGAAAATTCCCAACGGTCTAATAAATCTTTAACGTGTGGAACTGATTAAGAAGGGAAGAGGTCGCGGAAAATGAAGTCCTAGGTAACCAAACTTTATTCTGCTGCAATTTTGTATATGGTATCAACAATTTTGGGAAGACGTTTTCTTTGAGGCACGTTCCACGATGAGTTATAAAAACAGACCTTCAGTGACGGAGGTAGTGATATTGTCACGACTCAAGGAGCGTTGCAAAGGTGCTAGGGTTCATAAGTTGCATATGTGCACGCCTAGCGCACGCCTGACCGCTGCGAACGCAGTAGTGTCCGCGTCCCACTCGTCCCTACACTCTCTCGTCCCGCTTCTGGCAACTAGTTTTCGAAATTACAGTTAACCTCTTTCTATCTGGCTTTTTTTCGTAGCTTGATGGACTAATTATTATTATTATTTGTTTCCATCTAAGGACTATGCTCTTGGACACCGGTCGTGCAAGTAAATAAATAAATAAATAAATCTACCGTACGAAACCTCACGCACCTTCATATACCAGTCGAAATCCTTAGAAATATAGTGATAGATGTAGAAAAAAGCGTAACGACTCTTGAAGAATAGATTGTAGTAGGAGTCAGGGATACCAGCAAAGACAGTTGAATAAGGGAATATCATTGGATGAGAAGAAATCTCCAGTAAACAGTTGTCCATGATCACATCGCGACAGCCACGTCTCGTTAATGGCTAGGGCCTGGAAAGGTTACTTTCAATATGGGCCGACATAACAGCCATAGTTCGAGAAATAACGCGCTCAGTGGGCGGAGTTCCCCACAAAGGTGCGTGTCGCACCGCCCATCAACATCATCATTACTTTCAAAATAAAAGTCTGCAATACAAAAATTGGCGTACTCTAGTATCGTGATAGATCTTCGCCGTTTGAACCCAACAAAACAATTGACCGGATCGAGGAAGACGTCGTGCTGCCGGTGAGGTGTAGACAAACTGTAGAAGAAGCGGGTCACTGGCTCTGAACAAAAACGACTAGTTTTTCGCCTTAGGGGTTCTAATAAGAGTATAGAAAAGCACCTGTCATAATAGGTAACAGGTCGGTTCCATATCAAGATTTTCAGCAGAAAGCCTAGAATTCCGATTGATATCAAGGCGCCACCAACTTGCCGCCTTGTCAGTACCGACGGCCTCGGTTCTGCCTATAACAATCGACATCATAGATATCTTGAAATAGTAGAGATTAAGAATATGCCTTTTGACTTTAAAAAGAGAAACGTCGGAAAAGAAGACTGCCTAAAAGATTTTTTAGCTGGGTTTAATCGAGGGCACGCTCGGCGCGAGAGCGAAAGAGGGACAATGGGATTCAAGTGTGGCATACTAGCTACTAATCGGCTCCCCAGTAAAGAAAAATTGAAGGTGAACGCCTAGCCTGAAGTAAATGGGCTTCATTTGTGTGGCGAGGACACGGAAGCGACTGAAATACTGATGCGCCAGGGGAACAGTTGTAAGTCAGAAAATTAGGCCGATGTCATAGTTTGCGAATCGAGCGATTCGCTAGCGAATCGCTGGATCCGAGCGTTGCGCCAGCGAATCGAACGTTGCACCAGCGAATCGAACTTTGCGCCAGCGAGTCGAACGATGTACCAGCGAGTCGAACTAGGTACCAGCGACTCAATAGTGGCGGGACCATTTTGAGGAAGCCGCCTTTCAAACAATGTTCATGCAAAGTCCCCGCCACTTTCAAACAGCGTCCACTGTCACGTGACACTGTTTGAAAGTGGCGGGCTTCCTTTAAACGTTGGGTCCCGCCACTATTGAGTCGCTGGTACCTAGTTCGACTCGCTGGTACATCGTTCGACTCGCTGGCGCAAAGTTCGATTCGCTGGTGCAACGTTCGATTCGCTGCGCATTCGCTCGCGAATCGCTCGATTCGCAAACTAATGACATCGGCCTATAGTTGGAAGTCGAGGATGGCATAAGAGAAGTGGAACGCGACATTACCGTATGATAAACAGTGGTGCGTGCATAATTCGAATCAGAAAATGATACCGTTCCCTTCGCTTCTCCGAGAAGCGAGAACAGGCAGGTATACATTGAAGTGGATGCTACAAAATTAGACATCACCATCAAATTCACAGGAAGGAATGCTCTTGTGGACTAGTAGCAGAATAAGAATTTCTTGCCAAGTTTTACAGGCTGGATTGGTAAACAAGTTCTGAAAATCTTCCGTTGAACAACTCTCAAAATCAAAATGTATAAAACGTTGAGACTAATGGAGTTTATTTTTATCGAGGGTCAAAACTTGCCACAAAAGGAGTTACAGAAGTACACATTCTTCTCAACTGTAACTTTGAACCTGGTGAATTTGCTGGAAATCAACCTGAGTGGGCCATATGAGAGGTTGAATTAGCGAGTTGGTATTACTCGAGTCGGTGGAAGCCAAGTTCAAGTCGGGAAGTTTGTCTTTTTTTTCGGAGGTCGTAAATTTTTTTCTCTAACTAAATCAAGCGTAATTCTATTGGACTTCAGGATAAACCACATACTCATTGCGGAAGGCACACTTGCCCTGAGGGACTGCTAATATGGGAGTCAAAAGTTCTTAACACTTCCGCAATATTTTTACTCTTTCAAATATTCAGGGAAGAAAACGTTGCATACCTTGGAAAGGAAGTACTGCTCATATTTGCTCTCTGAAGTGGTCGGTAACGATGATATAGATCCCAGTAACGGAGGCATGCCTGAAATCGAATTTTTTCAATGGACTGAATGGTAAAAAAAATAAAGGCAGTACGACACAAACTGAAAAATGGAGACAAGAATAAGAATACAAAGGACATA